TGACGGGACGCGGCCCCCTCCTCCCCCCCCCCCCCGCCGCGCTCCCGCGGCTCCGTGGGCGAGCAGGCCCGGCCTGGGCACCCGCGCCGCGCCGCTTCTTCATCGGAAAGCGTTGCTAATTGCCGCTTGGAAAAGCCTGTCACGGCGTTCACCCGGGATAGAACTGCATTCGGGTACATCTTTTAATTTTTGAATGTTTTTGGCTTTGAGTATAGCACCACCTGCTGCCCTGCTACTGCAGGGCTTTGGAAAGCATCTGTGTTTTCTATTTTAAAAGCTTGGGGACGGGAAACAGCGCATGCCCTGCGACTGCTGCGACTGCCCCCATGCAACAGCCCGGGCACACGCGCTGTACTACACCGAGCTGAAAAACGTCTCTGGATGAAGGCTCCTCTTCTCTGGACCTAATCAGCACTGCAATGACGACGACAAAATTATCTGTCCTCTTAAGCTCCTTGAAGGAGCCATCTCCTTGCACGGAGGAGAAGGCTCAGGCAGCAGTCACAGGATTTGAGCTGCCAACTAGCAAGGGGAGCAACAAACTACTCCAGGAAATAAAGTACTTACACTGGCAGCGTGTTCTCCTTAGCCTTGCATCAACTAGGAAGATACGTTTAAGGAATAAACTAGGACAGTTGAAAATTTCCAAGAAAACAGGAGTGATTCCCAATTTGACATTAGGCCCTCTTAGCTGCCAAATTCCCAAGTTGTGAAAGGTGCAACTCGTGCGAATGATGTAACACTCGTTAAACAGCTTGGTGACTTATCCAAAGTACCAGTGTCATAAGGATAACTTACCTGGTTTCTGGACAGACACCACCTCCCCTTTGCAAATAAATAACATCATCTTCTCACTACCAAAATTTACTTTCACTGTAATAGGGTGAAGTCCCTAAAATTCAAAAAGGGTTGAGGAAAAAACACCCAAAAGACTCAAAGTGGAGAGGAGACCTTATAAATAAATCTCCTGTTTTTTTTTTCTCTCCTCTAAACAAGTTACCCACTTTGCATCGATGTAAACTTGTCACGGGTCTGTTTGGAACTTAAAGAGTATTAGAAGAACCCCCTGACTCTGCCTTTCAAAATTCCGACAGGTGGCACAGGTTATACACAAACACTTCTAGTTTCCAACACTGTAAGATCTTCGCTATATCCAGGAGTTAATTCATATTACAGGGCTACAGGAAGATTCTTGATTATTACCTTCATTAGTCAGCTGTACCTGCAAAATTACAATTACATGAGTGTATTCAGAAGTTAATTAAATGGCCTGTGTTTGCTGCTTCCATGCAATCCAGGAAGCAGCCCCATATGATTTGCTAAAAAAAAGTGGTAATTTCACCTGAAATAGCAAAGAGAAAACTCAAACATGTTCCAACAAAAAAGGAAAAAATAGCAAAAAATGAGTATATAAGAAAGAGTAGGTTTAAGGGTGTGGAAGAAGCTTGCTCTGCCTCTTAAAAAAAGGGTTCTCTCAACAGAACTCTGAAATTTCTTAGATTAAAATCGAGTGCGGGGAATATTCTACTTGTTCTCTGTTAGTACAACCCTGGCAAACACACAGCTTAGCTTTATTTACATCTTATTATTTACAATAAAATGGCCACGGAACTCAAGGTTTTGTTAGTTTTTTTTTGTGCTTTTGTTTTTTTCCACCCCCCGCAACTTCTTCTCTCTCTGGGCACCAAACTCTTTCTCCTGGCCTACGCAGGCAGAAACAAGAGTGACTGTTTATGCCGTGCAGCCCCTGCAACCTCATTTCCAGTTCTGTTTGGCTTCCACAGCATGAAGAGATTTACAGTAAAGATCGGATCATCCTCAGATTGTCTCATCTTTTTACCCCGCATCTCCAACAGCTGAACATGATACCCAAGGCAGAAAGAAAGAATTCACTCCGATACCCACAAATATACACCCTGAATCTCCCTGACCATGTTCTTGGATTAACTGCAATTGTGTTACTTAACCTTTCAAAAAATAAAGGTGCACTCCCCTCCTCCCCCTTCCCAAACCCCCAAACGACAACAAACAAAGAATGCAAAATGAAGAGAAAGGAATAATTTATTAGAGATTTTACAAGCAAATTGGCATACACTTGCCAGATAAATTCTGTGACTGTTTAAAGACATCTGGAATCTTTTAGATGAGTAAATTTATGTCTTAAATACTTTAGAAATGCTACTACGCACAGTTCAAGAGTCCCGATGATGACTGCTTCTTCTCTCAGCTCGGTAATACTTGAAAAAGATGGGACACAAAAGGGACCTGGAACATCACAAAGGCATGTTAAAATTATGAATGACCAGAAAAGAGGAGTGTGTATTTTCTTTTTTTTTTTGTTTTGCTGCTGCTAAATTGGAAGATGTTGAATATTTACAAAACCACAGAAAGTCTGACAAAAGTAGCTCTATATAGAATAAGCTATCTAAAATTTGTATTAAAATGAATGAGAAAAATGTAATATCACTGGCAAAAACATTATTACAATGCAGAAAACAATTTTTAAAAAGTAGCAATAAATAGTTCAATTCCCAGACTATTATTTCATTGTGAGACACTGCTAGATTTTCTGTTCTCTATTCTAAAAAATAAGAAGCGTTCAAAGTAAATTAACCACACATTGTTTTTTATAAACCAGCACAACAGTAATCACTAAATGTTCTAATGTTCTTACAGCTCAACACTGTAATCATTTCCTGGACTGCTCTGAATTTTTTCTTTAACCGTCAGATATTTCATTAAAGAACAACAAGAAGAAATTCTCGGTGTGAGACCAGCACAGCTCCACAATTAGATCACAAATGAGAGAAGTTTACAGTGTTTGAGGCAGAATGTGGAGGCCACATTTGGAGACTAGGAAACGTCATTATGTCTATTCAAGCAACAGAGACAACTCATTACTGCTTTCCCCTGAAGAAGTGCCCTTTCTTTTTTAAGTTACCAGATTAGTTGAAGCTCTAAAACGTGTCAACTCCTCCCCACAACTACTCTAAAAGAAACTTAAGAGGTCAAGTGCTATGGGAAACATTGCACAAAAAAGGATACAACAAGAAAGGATACACTCTGCATGACAGTATTACTGCAGTATTTACGCAGGAATGTGTCTAAAGAAGAACAGCAGAATGTGGTTTAAATTTACTTTATTCTCAGTATTGCATTCACATAACTTCATACTACCTATCATAAGCAAAACCACCTCATTTAATAAAATACAGTTTTGACCCCTTATCACATTTAATGAGGGCTGAGTCCACCAAAACTAACTCCATATTCTGAAGTAAATATGTCTTTTGAAACCTTGAATTGTTAAAGACAATACCAGAATTTTCTGTCTCATTGACTCTCTTTCAGTCTTCCACATTTTACAGACTCACTTTTTCCATCTGGTCCAAAACCAAATCATGTTTCCATTCAATGCAGTCTGCCAGGTCACTTCTTCCTTACAAAGAAGCTGGTGACCTTTCAGCATCAGCTTCTCCTACAATTCCCTTCTCCCCCAGAGCCAATGTTTTAGCTACAGAAAAAATAACCATCCCAAATACCACCGTGAATGTTTATGGGTCCATCAAAAAAGGAGGCATTTCAATCATAAAGGAGTAACAAAGCTTTTTTTTTTTTCTTTTTAATAAAGCTTGCAAATTATATTCTATATAACGGAGAAAATCATGTTTGCAACAGTGTTCATGAACTAAACATGGCTTCCTCCTGTTTAAAAATAATATATATAATATATAATTATACATATATTTTAATGTAAGACTCTGACACTCTTCTTCCTTGCAGACACTTCCTCCTCAGATGTCTATCACAGAATTTCACATCACAAACCAGCATCTACCAGGGTTTAAGTCAGGACAGGAGAAACATCTGGGTAGAAATAGGTTGGCTTCATGATTAGTTAACAAGTGAAAGAAATCATTTTTAATTAAACTCACAGAGTCTCAGAATTCTGTATTAATCTGAGGAGTACTCCCTAACTTTACACATAAATGGTATACAAATAATATAATAATAATATAATATATAAAATAAGAAGTTAAACCAGTGTTAGTGAGCTATTTCATGTAACCTTCTATATGCATAAATAACCATTACATAAATATGCCTGCTCATTCTAATAATATACTTCTGACTTGGTCATCAACCTGCTTAACCAAACAACAGCCACTTGCTTCGCTTTACGTAATTTGAAAACTATATAAAACATGCTGAGGCAAGTGAGAATCAGATTTTGTATGTGAAGTTAGCTGGAAAAACATGCAATGACCCTTGTGAGGATTTCCAATATCTTTTTTTTTTCCCCCTATCAAGGAATTTGTTAGAAACAGGACCAAAACACTTATATAAGCACTTATTTAAGCATCTGTTGACTTTTTAATAGTTTTGCTAAGATTTGTTTCCTTTCAACACAAGAACACCTGCAAAGAAATTGTCTTTCATTTTATAAAACAAGATACTGATTTTGCAAAGCAGGAATCAGAATTGGTAAGGCTGTAGAGCACCTCAGAAATGAGTGAAACAGCACAGACTTAAGTGGAATCTAACCAAAAATTCACAGACAACTGACAGAATGAGAAATCTACAATTATAATTATTATTAATAGAAATAGTGTCCTGGAAATAACAACATTGGGAGTTTCAAAACAGTTTTCCAAGTCAGAAGCAGGCACTCATATCCTTAATTTCAAGCTTTTTCTTCCTCTCAAAATAAGTGATCAAAACACGCAGAACAAAAAACACAGTAAAATAAGATGAATGTTTCAAAATCTCTAAGCCTAGCATTTGAGTTCACTTAGCAGTGGGAGAAGGGGTTAAGTAGAAGGACACCCAGCTGAAATCTGTAGTCAGTTAAATGACATTTTAAGTTTGAGTTAGCTCAAATCAATGGGTGGAGGTTGAGAACTAAGTTATTCTGTGTGCTAGTTTAATAATTCTACTCAAACATTCTCTAGTGAGAGTCAGATACTTCGAGTAAGGCAGCAGTGAAGTAAAGCCATGTATATGACAAGAAAAAGTGAAACCATGATTGCTTTGTCAGCTCTGCAGACAGATATGCCAAAAATCAGCATCTGTGCATTGCATCACAAAAAGAAAGTCTCGATTAATATAATATTAAGTACAAGTTTCTAACACAGTACCCTTTACCAAATCAGACAGTCAAAGGATGCTGCAGCAGCACAAAGTGGTCAGATTCTTCAGATATATTTTCCCAACTCCTCATCCCCTAGTTTACACTTTAGAAAAACTGACAAAAAAAAATCCCATGACCTGAGGCCTAGGCAACCAGCAGTCCCCAGGTTTCTAGAGAAAAGAAGCAGCAACATTTTAAACTTCCACTGTCTTTGTAACTTGCAGCCTGGTTTTCTGATAGCAGACTCACTAAAGAGGCTAAAAAACAGTCATACAAAGAAATAAAATCAGCCTGTGTCTTTCTCTTGTTTTTTAGACAGGGAATCCTTACCTTTTGCAGTGCTCTATTTTTTTCTTTTCCCTTCACTGGAATCCTGTTTTGGTCTAGCTGAACGAGCAAATTGCTGAAATTCTGTTAAGGACTACAAGTATCACTGATAACAGAGAAGTCAATCAAGAAGCAGAAACACGTAGGAGAATTTCAGTAAAGTAAATTTCAGTTTAAAACCTTCCCTTCCTTTTTCTGAGGGACAAATATACTACCGCATTAAATATGGTTACAGTTGTGCCTACTAGTCAATGATTAGGACCTCACTGATGGGCAGTTTAAAAATTTCTGTTCAAAAGCACAGATTATTAAGCAAGTAAGGCAGATAAACAGGAAGGGAAAATATAAACAGAGTAACTACAAAAGGATGAATATTTGATATTTACAGACCTCCATGCCTGCACATGAATTCCACGACTTCTGGTATCTCAGAAGGTATGTAGGAAGAAATAAATTTAAAATAGAGGTCATGGGAATAACAGTCTACTTATAGAGAGCAGTTATGCAAGCTAAATTACATTTAGGATACCTGGAGGTTCAAGAAGCTAACAGCAGAAGAGTCAGTTTTATTAAGTCTTAAATAAAACACATTAACCTTTCTCTTGCAGAAGGGGTAGGGCCTCTATATATTTTTTAGTTATCGTAAAATTAGCAATACTGCCTTGGGTTCTTAAACTGTAACTTCTTTTTCTGTAGATGTCCAATGAAGTAGAACCCTACGTGACAGGCTAGAGACTCACAAGCAAATTTAGAAAAGTATGTATAATGCAAATCTTTCAATAAAAGATACAACCACCATGGGCTTCTCAAATAGCACATATCCATTTGCTTCTTTTAGAGCTTTAGCAGCTGCTTTTTCATTAGGTAGCCCAATGAAAGCCTGTCCCTTCATACGGCCTTCTTTCATCAAACGTATGTCAAACCTAGAAGCAAAATTGAGAATGAGAAATTACTTGAGTTTCTACATTTCACACATTCGTAATTTACACTTTCACAATTCATAGCATACATAATTCTCATGCTAAAAGTTGGGGAAATAATAGAAAGAGGAGCGCCTACAATCAGGAATTATGTCACTGGAAATCATTGATATTTGCAGGGGGAATTTTGTAAACTAGTTATTAAAAAACTGACATTAAAAGGCAGGATGGCAAGCTGATGTACAACTACAGTAAATACAACATATGCAAAATGATCAGATACACACAATGATCTACTCTGTGTACATTCTGCTTCGCTCACCCATATACAGTTATTTCAGTGGTCAAAATATAAAGGCATAATATTTGTGTCTTTGAATCTGTTCAAAAAATAATTCTACTTTTGAACTTCAAATAAAGAAAGATTTGCAGATGAGAAGCATTTTCCCCCTTAAAAGTGCTGAAGTAGAGAGAAAAAAGAAGAAAAGATTACTAATCTTTAATCACAGTTTCCACCACAGTTGTAGAAATTAATAAAAAGATCTAATATTATCAGGCATCAAAATAGCTTACATATTTCGTTCCATTTCTGACTCAAAGTCAACATATCTTCCAAAAATGAACTTGAGATCCTGGAATTAAAGGGCAGGTATAAGAGGAAAGTTGATTCTTTAAAAAACCTTTTCGTAACTACTTAATTTGTTTGTTTACCTACCTTTTCTTGAACTTGCTTAGCTAAATTCTTCACATATATCCTGCAATTTGGATCACCTGGCTCATAGTTTTTGAAAACAGAGAATTTTTCCATTTCTTGAACAAGATGAAGACAGAAAAATAGACAATCTAAATGTTACAATTCATTTAAGGATTTTTTTTTACTTTTAATATACAAAACAAATAGCTAAATTTTATGTATCTGATAAATTAAAAAAGAAATACTATTTAAACTTACTACAAAAAGCAAAGAGGTATTAATACAGGATTTATTTTCAAAGCCATACCTTCTCTAGAAAGTCTGTTTTTTTCTAGTTCCCTTCTAGAAATAAATTCTGATGGTATTTCATCATTCTCCTCTTCCGTTTCCATTTTATCATTTGAGGTAGGAGCAGGGAAAATCTTTCCAAATCCTGCATTATTGATTTCTTCTGTGGTTGCACAAAGATCTAAAATTTGAATACATTACGTAAAGTGGTTTGTATGTACATTTACAACCGTATCAACTGCAAGTTAAAATACGTACACATATAAAAATTAGAAGTAGTGTTTGAACACAGTAGTATGCTAAAAGAATCTGAATACACTCTTAAGAAAATCTGCCTTCATCCCTGGCTTTATGTGGTTGTATAAAATCAGCTTTACTACAGATAAAACCCATGGCATGTGCAGCTAAAATAAAACTAGACATACTCTTCAAAGCTGCATACATTTCATTTAGTTTTTAATATTTTAATTCAAATAAATTTTACATTATTGGAAAAATGCTAAAAATATACAGGACTAAAGATAACAAGCAGCCACCAAGTCTCACTGCTACTGCTGCCCAGTATTTATGCAGCAGATTATCAGCACATTGCAGGAAGGAAGCAACAACTTGACGGCTGCCCTCTAGGAGCTGCAATCTAAAGTTACCCTGGTGTATTCAATTACACCACATAACACGGAGAAGGATCTTGTAACATGCTTGCTAAAAACAGCCTAAGGTTTTTAAAAGCATATGAAATTCACTGTAAAAGCAGAGTGCTCATAATACAGACCAACCTTTAAACCACTCCTCCCTCTATATATAGAAATATACTCTACATGAAGGCCCAGAGTTCTGTGCTTTAACAAAGGAAAAGAAAAAAATGCAGACAAAATGCAATTTGCTGTGCTTTAAAAAAGCAAGCAGAAACAAAAGAACAACCTCTGACAGATACTATTTATGAAATTGACAGTATGAAAGAATGAATAAATAAATAAAAGGCCCTGGCTGAAACTTTAGCAGACTTCTGCAGACTGCAATCACATGAAGTTAGTATTAAATATATATAAAGTACAAATTTCTCACCATTTTTTTCTTCGCTTTCTGAATTTATCTGAAGAACAGATGGGATGTCAGTAGTAATATGAAATTCTATTTTTTTATGACCTACATGTTGAGGCTGTTCAAAGACATCTGAAGGTGACAGTGTAGGGTGCAAATTACTGTTTAAAACAACAACATGTTAATCAAACTTAAACAGAATTGGTCACTGACAAATACATATTCAAAACATAAGCATTCCTTCCATTTAGATTTTATGCTGTTATTTAACAAACATGAGTTTTCTTTTTCATAATCAATTTGACCTTTACTAAGGAACATTTAAAACAATATAAATACATTAGGTTTGCCCCATGCAAAGCAAGCACAAAAAAAAAATAAACAAACCCAAACCCACAAGAACATACTATACCAGAGGAACTTGAGAAAAGCTTTCCATTAACAACTTTAGTAATCCAAACTGGCCTTGTTGCTGTTTTCATGTAGTATAATTAGACTTTTTTTAAACAATAACAAAAAATTCTTAGAGGAAAAAGGAAAGCTATTTAAAAAAATGCACTTGCAATTGATTGTCACTACACAGAAATATTATACTGCTGTCTATTCTGCTGTATATAGCTGTTTCAAAAACCAGAGAGACTTAAACCACACCAATTTTTATTCTTGCTCTCTATATTTTCAAAAGAACCACCTTTAACAATAAATGTAGATTCCCACATTGTCAGGGCAATATGATTGTTATTAGCTTGACAGGCAGAATGAGAAAGCTATAGCATGAGTCAGGCTATGGCTGCTTGTTTAGCAAACTTGAGGTCAAATTACAAGCAAATTAGGACCTTCAGGAGCAAGGGTAAAAACCAAATGCATGGCTAAATGAGACCAATCCTGCTACAGAGAATATAGACCAATAAAGAGGTTTGTATTAAAATAGCAACACCAAGCATCAGGCAGTGAAGTCATATAGTGAAAGGAATAAAGTTCTGCAAAGACACCACGCAAACAACACAAACCTGTGGGGAGCACACACGGGAGCATTCAGCAAGTCTTTAATTCTTTGTTTTTTCCTAACTCCACGTCTCTTCGTGCTTATTGGCCTCTTAGGCTGAAGGGTTGCTAATTCCATCAACTTGGTCATTCTGTTTTAGACACAACAATTAATACAAAAGAAAGAACCCACGTGAGTTTAAAGCTTACGTGAGAATGCCCATTGTAATCTCTCTTTCTTAAAAACTTTGAAATATAACTTTTAGAAATATAATCATATATTAAGCTGCATTAAGACCTAAACCACACTAATAAATTACATCACATATGAATTCAATGTACATAGAGCCAAGGAGCATTACTTAATCAACAGACCAAAACTGTAATGAGTTCAGTGATATCTCTTCTTTCTCCAGCAAGGTACCTAATCAGGACACCGAGGCTGAGAAACGTTAAGATGCTCCACACCGAATCAAGTTTTTATACTGCTTCCACTCTGCAGGAATTTTCCTTTTTATTTTTCCAAAGCATGCATTTTTCTGAGGATAACATGGAGATTGTCCTATTTACTTTTCATTTCTGTTTAAATATTAGATGCAGAAAATTATTTTCTAATCAGGACACTGAGGCTGAGAAACGTTAAGATGCCCCACACTGAATCAAGTTTTTATACTACTTCCACTCTGCAGGAATTTTCCCTTTTTTTTTTTTTTTTTCCCAAACCTGCATTCTTTCTGGGTCAAAATTTGATATTTCCCATAT